CTCCACCAGCACCCACCAGCAGGGCTCAGCCCTGGGCTGCAGCAGGATGTTTCCAGCCACGCAAGAGCAAGGAGGTCCCAGTGGAGAAGCTCACTGGGCATCACTGAAGCCCCTATGGGGCATCAATGGGGCTGGGGGCAGCGCCCTGGCTGGGTCCCCCCCTCACCTCGTTGTTGGCGTGGCCCCTGCCCTCCAGCGAGGTGCCGCAGTGGCTGAGGGAGGTTTTCAGCATGAAGTGTGTGGCGTTTTTCTCTGCCTGGCAGCTGATGTCCCTCAGGGTGATGTTCACCACGTCCTTGATGGGCTGAGAGAAAAGCACCCTGCGGTCACCCACCAGCTGGGGACAGCCCTGTGCCACCCACCCCGAGCACCCGGAGCAGGATGCAACCCCCCATGCCCCCCCTGGGTGATGCTGGCAGGCATTGGGACACCCCACCAACCCCCTCACCTCCAGGTAGGACCTGGCGATGACGATCTCCATGGTTTCATCTGTGCACTTCCAGGGCTGGAGCATGAGCAGCAGTATGTTGGGCATCGAGTCAGCGGTGGGGGCTGGGAGGGTGGGTGTCACAGGCGCCCTCCTGACCGTCTCTGCGGGATGAGAAGATGGTGGGTGCTGAGGAGTGTGGGCAGTGGGATCCCCCCCATCCCCATCCCACCATCCCTGGAGCATTGGGGGCCTCACCGTGCTCCTGGATCTCCAGGCTGATGTGGGTGCTGGGGGGGATGATGGAGTAGGAGGCGATGACACTGCAGTTCCTCTCGAAGGCTTTGGCGATAAGGCCCTGCTCCGTGTCAGGCAGGACCTCCCCAGGGAGCGGCATCGAGACCATGGGCACGATCTTGTAGTTCCCAGAGACCTATGGGGAAGGGGAGGGGGGGGCGTGGGCAGCACAGGGAAGGGCTGAGCAGGGACGGGGATGCTCAAGGCAGGGATTGCTTCTGGGTTCGTCCCTGTTAGGAGGGCTTGCAGCGAGGGGGCTGCCACCTCCCCATGCCCAATGTCCCCAGGTGCCCTCCTGTCACCCTCCCTGTGCCACTAGCATCTCTTGGGCATCTGGCAGCCCCCTTGGCAGGGGAGGTGGGGGGGACACACATCCCGCTCAGCCCTACCAGGAACTGGACGTCGCAGTTGTTGACGGAGACGGACCAGGTGAGGTTGACCCGGCTCTGCAGGATGAGGATCTGTTTGCTCACGGGTCTCTCGGGACAGCTCAGGGAGACATTCACCTCCGTGACGGGGAAGCTGCAAAACCATGAGATATCCCCCCCCCGCCACCAGCATCAGCATCCCACACCAGCAGGTCCCATACCCACCTTGGGATAGGGGGGCTCTGCCTGTGAGACACCCCAACCCCTTTCTGAGCATCTCCAAGCATGTCCCACTGCCTGTCCCACCGCTTCACCCCCTG